AATGAATAGAGCATGAGCATAGAGAGATTTGTGAGTGCACAGGACACAGTTTGAGCGAGAGGAGAGACACGTTTTATAAGTGCGCGCACTCTCTCTGGGCGACAGCAGCGTGTATCTGAGCGTGCGAGTCCGGTTTAGTGCGAGAGCAAAGGAAATCCGCGCGCGAGCAGAGAGATTCGCGCTCGCGCGTTATATTTATGTGCTTTCGCGCTACAATAATGCACTCTCGACATTTGTCATTAAAATAACGCCATAATATTTCCCCCTATTTTCACGATGTCATGTGCTGTTCGCGCATGTTCGCGTTGTTTGTTTTATTACGCGCTCTGTTTGCTCCTCTCTGGTGTACGATCGCTTGACTTTTCTGAATATTCGGTCGGCGGTGTCTGTCTGATTGTCTGTTTCGCGATACCAGAGAAGACTGCCTTCCGTATACACGGTATGCGTCTGTGCCAGTTGCGCTGAGGAAGGTTTGTTACCTGCCTGTGGAGGTAATCTGAAGATTGTTGATACCGTTTTTTCGGATCATAAGACTGTTCTTTTTAGCTCTAATTTTCCATGTGATGTCTTAAGTAATGTTTCTGTTCCTGTCGCATCTCGTGTACTCACTCCTTACACAGCTAGTAGTTTTTCAGCAGCTTTTGAGGTTTCCCCTTTACTTACTTTGTTTGAATCTCCCTGTCATAGTATGGATTTAGAAGAGTTGGTTAATCAATTCAACGCTTCTTGTTCTGCTATTTTAGATGTTGTGGCTCCTTTCAAGGCTAAGAAAAACAAAGTTAAATTACAGCCCTGGTTAAATTACAGCCCGTGCTCTCAGGCAGGAGTGCAGGAGGGCTGAACGTAAATGGCTTAAAGATAAATTACAGGTCTCTTATGAGATTTTGAAGAACTGTCTGAATGAATATCAAAGGGCTGTCAAATTAGCTAGAGCAAATTATTTTTCTGCCATTATTTCCAGAAACTGTCATAATTCTAGAGTACTTTTTTCTACTGTAAACACTGTGCTCAATCCCGTTGCCACCCCATCACTCATTCCTTCTGCTGATATATGTGAAGCATTCTTAAACATTTTTATTGGTAAGGTCGCTGGAATTAGATCTCAAACTTCATCTGCTAGCAATGAGCTGATCACTCCTGCCGATCCTATTAATCAGTTGACAAGTTTTTTGCCTACTTCTCTACAGCAGCTTAAAGATATAATTGCGCATATGAAGCCTACTAGGTCTCCAGGTGATGTCATTCCTTCTTCTTTGTTTAAGAAGGTTTTTGACACTATTGGTCCAAGTATTCTGACTATTTTGAATAGTAGTCTGTCATCTGGTGTTGTTCCCGCTAGTTTTAAGAATGCTGTTATTCAGCCCCTCCTTAAAAAAAATGGTTTAGATCCCTTTAACATGAGTAATTTTCGCCCCATTTCGAAGCTGCCTTTTATATCTAAGATATTGGAAAAAATTGTGTTGGAGCAGTTAAATGTTTTTTTAAAGAGGAATAATATCTTAGATAGATTCCAGTCTGGTTTTAGAGCCGGCCACAGTACAGAGTCTGCTCTTTTGAGGGTCTCCAATGATATCCTAAGAGGTGTTGACTCTGGGAGTTGTGTTGTTCTAATTTTGTTAGATCTTACTACAGCATTAGATACAGTTGTCACGATATACTTATTGCTCGTCCCAAGAATCATGTTGGTGTTCAGGGCTTAGCCTTAAAATGGTTCTCTTCTTATCTGAAGGATAGGACATTTTCAGTCAGTTTAGGTGATTACTCTTCTTCTACTGCTCCTCTTGTCGTCGCATCTCGTGTACTCACTCCTTACACAGCTAGTAGTTTTTCAGCTGCTTTTGAGGTTTCCCCTTTACTTACTTTGTTTGAATCTCCCTGTCATGGTATGGATTTAGAAGTTGGTTAATCAATTCAACGCTTCTTGTTCTGCTATTTTAGATGTTGTGGCTCCTTTCAAGGCTAAGAAAAACAAAGTTAAATTACAGCCCTGGTTAAATTACAGCCCGTGCTCTCAGGCAGGAGTGCAGGAGGGCTGAACGTAAATGGCTTAAAGATAAATTACAGGTCTCTTATGAGATTTTGAAGAACTGTCTGAATGAATATCAAAGGGCTGTCAAATTAGCTAGAGCAAATTATTTTTCTGCCATTATTTCCAGAAACTGTCATAATTCTAGAGTACTTTTTTCTACTGTAAACACTGTGCTCAATCCCGTTGCCACCCCATCACTCATTCCTTCTGCTGATATATGTGAAGCATTCTTAAAAAAATGTATTGGTAAGGTCGCTGGAATTAGATCTCAAATTTCATCTGCTAGCAATGAGCTGATCACTCCTGCCGATCCTATTAATCAGTTGACAAGTTTTTTGCCTACTTCTCTGCGGCAGCTTAAAGATATAATTGCGCATATGAAGCCTACTAGGTCTCCAGGTGATGTCATTCCTTCTTCTTTGTTTAAGAAGGTTTTTGACACTATTGGTCCAAGTATTCTGACTATTTTGAATAGTAGTCTGTCATCTGGTGTTGTTCCCGCTAGTTTTAAGAATGCTGTTATTCAGCCCCTCCTTAAAAAAAATGGTTTAGATCCCTTTAACATGAGTAATTTTCGCCCCATTTCGAAGCTGCCTTTTATATCTAAGATATTGGAAAGAAATTGTGTTGGAGCAGTTAAATGTTTTTTTATAGAGGAATAATAGCTTAGATAGATTCCAGTCTGATTTTAGAGCCGGCCACAGTACAGAGTCTGCTCTTTTGAGGGTCTCCAAAAATAATTTTCTTCAATTGAATGACGATAAGACAGAGATGATTTTATTTGGTAATAATGGTTATGTTAATGATATCTATGACTGCCTGGGGCAGTTTCCTGGGAAGAAACTGTCCTGTGTAAAAAACCTTGGTGTCATCTTTGACTCTGAGCTCAAATTTGACCGACAAATTAATGCTGTTGTTAAAAATAGCTTTTTCCATCTAAGGTCAATATCTAAGCTGAAGTCCATCCTCTCTTTTGAAGATATGGAGAAGGTTGTTCATGCTTTTGTGTCATCTCGTTTGGACTATTGTAATGTGTTGTATCTGGGTTTGAAGGATCTGTTTCCTACATTGTTGTGATTTGATTTGAACGAAAACAGCATATCCGTGTGGTGCGGCTGACACAGAACAGCATACGTTGTTTTACCTCCAGCTGATATTCTCCAAAGTGGCACCAGGGTGACATGGAGGAGACGAATTGTTGAATAAAGTCTTTTTTTTTGTTTTCTTTGCGTACATAAACCAATATTTCCTCTTGCCATTGTATCGCGTTTACTACAGTTCGGTTAGTGGATCAGGAGGCGCTGGCTCATGGCTGGCTGGTGTGTGACTGAGTGGAGGCTGGGCTAATTTGCGTATTCATAGATCCGCGTATAGTAATTGAGGCAAGGGTGTAGAGTTCAAGCTATTTTAAGGCATGAGAAAATTATTTTCACAAGAAAAAACATTTAAATATGTAATTTTGATGATCAAAGATGAGTTTTACATGGATACAATTTGTGATTACGGGGGACTTTAAATAAACATTGTTAGACAATGGCACAAGCCATTTAAAACCTCATATACTCAGAGCTGGGTAATCAATCCAATGTAATGCAAGTTTAATATTACACTGATTATGCAGTTTTATTAGATGGCACATCTCGGTAGATGTGCCATCTAATAAAACTGCATAATTTCATTATAACAATCGGTCATAGATATCCATCAACCTAAAAATGAAAAATAAAAAAAGATGAGACAAATACATTATCCTGAAATAAATTCAGCTGTTAACTAATTTGAATAATCTGCCCCAGGGGTGTCAAGCGCCGGAGCCCTGCAGAGTTTAGATTCAACCCTAATTAAACACCTGATCCATCTAATCAAGTCCTTCAGGCTCTGGTCCTCTGACACCCCTGATCTACCCATATCTGCATATTATGGTCACAGCTTTAAATTTTGTTACTATGCCTGCAACAAAACATAATATAGTTTATAACAACAGAAGGCTGCTTGGTTTGAAAGTGGCACTTCATTCTGACAACTGACCTTTTCTGCCTGTGAAATTTCAGCTGTCGCCGCACCTTTAAGGGTTATATATCATATAGGTCAACCGAAATCCAGCACTTCTCGCAATACAGTCAAGCAAACAACTTCACAGCGTCCATCAGAACTGGAGCGGGGCGCCTGTTGAAAAGTGTGGGGCAGACAAAGCCCAGCTTTATTTTATTCTCCAAAACATTTCAGCCAGAAAATAGTCTCTCTACAGCCTCAGGTACATCTCATTACTCATGACAAGCATTCAGAACATTTCCATGAATACACTATAAAATACTGAGCAGTATGTTGCATCAACCAGACATAAGAAATACTTTAATACATTACGGATTCAATAAAATGAATTGTACAGAATTTACACACTCCTATTTGATTTTGACTGGTCATAACGGAGTAAGACAATCTGTGTTGGAACCTAATCGTGAAAGAAACTAAGAAATTAAGTTAAATCCTCCGGCAATCAAACAAGAAAATGCAGAGAGGACAAACAGAATCAACAGTTATTAACCCATTAGCCATGGCAGTGCACTGGACAACATCAGCTTCAAAATTCAACGAGTCCTGGGTTCGAGTAGGTTATTAACCGGTACCCATTTTACCCACGATGCACCTCTTCCTCAAGGCGCACACATGCTGCTGGTAACACATACAGACGCCTCTCCAGCCGGCCCTTCCAGATCACATTAAATAAATGTCTGTCTCTGTCTGTCCTGCGGCCCTCAGTCGTAGTGTAGCGCCGTGTAGAAGATGATCCAAACCACCTGCACACAAATACACAGCGCTATCACACACTCCACAGCACTGGAGAAAGACAGCGTGAGAAATAAAAACATGCTGAATCAAACACGAGAACATAAAACATGGGGCAAGCTGTGCTTTCTATTCATCAAACGCATCACCATTTCCACAAAAATATTAAGCTGTTTTTAACACTGATGTTTCTCGAGCAACAAATCAGCATATGTGACCCAATAGTTTTAGTAGTAGTAATATTGTAGCAATAGCCAAAAATACATTGTATGGGTCAAAATAGGGCTGCACGATTAATCGAATGCGATTGTCATGCGCATTTTGTTAGTAAAGCCGCTAGGGGTCAACCGATATGTGTTTTTCAAGGCCGATGCCGATTATTGCAGATCAAGTAGACCGATAACCGATATTTTGAACCGATATATATATTTCTATATGATTTGCATTTTTTTCAAACCCTAAATTGAGACCGTTTAAAACCCAGATTTGTGTGAATTTGTAATTTTCTATTTTCTACCAAGTAAAAGCTGGAGCAACTACTGTTGTTAATAGATTTTCCCACTATGCTGTATACAATCACATAAAGCAATGAATCATATGAGCTTCACTGTCAGCAAACCCATTGATAAATGCTGCATTGCCAGGCAGTTAAACTGTGCTCAACTTCGATGCATTGCAGTGTTTCCCCTGCCATTATTTTAGGGGGGCGGCCCCCTTGAAGGTCAAGTTAATTTTATTTAAATATATTTTCTCTATAGCGCCAGATCACAACAGAAGTCATTTAAAGTTACCCTTCTGATAGAACGGGTCTATACCTTGTTCTTTTTTTAAACAAACTAAATAGCCTTATGTTATTTATCTTATTTACACGACGGCATGTCATTCCGGTCTCTATGTTATGGTCGCGCTCTCTGTATCATGCACAGCGGCGTTCCTTCCCCGTTGCGCACACACACACACACACACACATGCACGCACGCTAGGGTCGACCGATATGTGTTTTTCGAGGCCGATGCCGATACCGATTATTACGGCTCAAGTAGACCGATAAACGATATTTTGAACCGATATATATGTCTGGTGTAAAAATGAAAATTCATGTCAAAATTAAGAATAACAAGGGCTCTGACAAAAACTGCCTTCCCTGCTGTTGGTTGAGTGTAGTACTCCCACAGTAAACTTATTTTTTGGCAAACAAAGGGTTTACCATTAAAATTAAAACCTGGAAGAAATAGCGTATTGTGTGATTATTCTTTCAAACAAAAGTTGTAATAATTGTTGTAGTAGTCAGGGGTTAAAGCAAAAAAATAATCTTTTGACTGAAAATTTTTCCTCAGCCAAACCCCATTCCACAGCCATACCTGTCACACACACAGTTTAAAACCATTTTTTTTCTTCTTGTAATTAGGAGCGCTTGAAAATTTTCTATTTAAAACAATATAAGAAGTAGAATAAGACAAATAGGTTACCAATCATATGAAATTAGTATTAATAAATTAATTTGTGAAAGCAGTTGAATCTTCTGTTTATTCAGCTGCAGCAATAGGCATTTTCTGGGTTTCTTCTGCGAGGCGTATTTGGAGTTTTAGCGCGAGAGCGCCCTCTGGCCTTTGGATGGAGATTTACTGCTGATCACAGAACCGTGCTTCACTGAAAGATACGCATGACAATCAGCTTCTGTCGAATCGCCATCTCGAGTCCATTTCGATTTATCGTGCAGCCCTAGGTCAAAATTATAGATTTTTCTTTTATGACAAAAATCATTAGGCTATTAAGTACAGATCATGTTCTATGAAGGTATTTTGTAAATTTCCTACTGTAAATATATCAAAACTTAATTTTTGATTAGTAATATGCATTGCTAAAAACGTCATATGGACAACTTTAAAGGCGATTTTCTCTGTCCTATCCTAACAAACCATACATCAATGGAAAGCTTAGTTATTCATTTTGAAAATTGACACTTATGACTGGTTTTGTGGTCCAGGGTCACATATTATGATTTCTGAAGGATCATGTGACACTGAAGACTGGAGTAATGATGCTGAAAATTCAGCTTTGATCACACAAATAAATTGCATTCTACAATATATTCACATAGAAAACAGATATTTTAAAATTGTAATAGTATTTCAAAATATTGCTGTTTTTCTGTATTTTTTATCAAATAAATGCAACGAACCCCAAACGTCTACAGTACACGGTAGTGTATAATGTTTTGTTTTGTTTTTTAAATGAAAAGAAATTTAGATTTTGATGCTTATAGTTTGTACTTCGACGCAGAACCCGCAGAGTTTCCAAATATATTTGCACTACAGTTTTCATTCTAGAGTTTATGCTCTATAGCACTGAAAAGGTTCTTTATTATTTTCTGTGATTCTACAAAGCAACGGTTCAAACACAGTATAACAGGTCTAACAGGAAAAAGCCAAAATGTATCTACCAGAAACAAAGCAAACGAAGTCATGAAGCCTTCTTTGGTGAGCTCCCATGTTCCTCCGTACTCCTCCTCATCCACCTGCTGGAAACTACTGAAGTACAGGTACAGGACGCCAGCGTTGATGACACAGAATCTGCAGGACACAAACAATCACAAATCATGGGTGGTGATGACTTCATGAAGATCAGGTCGAGGCCTTGGCTATACTCACATGGCTATTCCCAGAAACCCTTTCAGAGGTGCGACACCCCATATTACGCCCAACACCACAGCGATGATTTGCCGGATCCAGTAGACGACATCTAAAAACTCGTCCTGCATTGAAAAAACAACATGTAAGAAATGCATGAAAATTAACGTATTAAAAAATACATAAGAGAGCATAATGAAAAAACATGCATACATATACATATATACATATACATGATAATAAATGGGGAGCAGCACATGCATTAATCCGTTAAAGAGCCCAAATCCCTACACACGACACCTAAACCCCTGAACCCTAAACAGTGAACATCACAGCTCAACATTCACATAACGTTACACGCATCTGCATCTGCTAGGACATATTATAATCGATCCGTATAGTGCATCCATGACCTGACTAGAGTATATGAGTGTAAAGCAGACCTTCTCGTCCCACACTGCTTTACAGCTGATGGCTTTGTTCCATGTGGACTGCTTTAGTCCTCCGTTCACCGCATGAACCTCCTCTTTCCGCTTCGAGCTGCTCGTCATGATGCTCCGTCTGTGCACACACGAGAAAACACGCGCTCCGATGTCTGAAGACTTGATCCGGATTGTAAAATCTTCTGCAAGCGCTCAGATGGGCTGTTCCTCGCCCGACATTGACACGGCTCGGGGAACTGGCTCTGCGCATGCGCGGCGAAGTCATGACCTTGCCATCCCATCCAATGAGCGAATGCGACGTCTACACGGTCAGCCAATGAGAGCGCAGAACTGGCCTCTGGCGCAGGCGCCCTCTACAGGCGAGCGATTCAACTGTCTTGTTGAAACATATTTGTCTTAAATATTTCATAATATGTAGAGAATGTTATAAAAAGCAACAAGGTGGATTCTCTAGGCCAGGGGTCTCCAAACTCGGTCCTGGAGGGCCAGTGTCCTGCAGAGTTAAGCTCAACACTAACACACCTGAACCAGCTAATCGAGGTCTTAGGAGCTAAACTCTGCAGGACACCGGCCCTCCAGGACCGAGTTTTGGGACCCATGATATAGGCAGTGCTATATTGTAAATGTAGTAAGTACACTTTGCTTTGTGCACTTCAAAACTGCAAAAAAACAACAACAATATCCTTCAAAAAGGTCTCTTCAGTATAATGGATAAATAAAATAATGTTCCTTTTTTTTTTTTTTTTTGCTTAATTTGTTTACTGAAGTTTTACAATAATAACAGGACAAGAATACAGGAGACTAGTGAGAAAAATAATGCTAAGTACAATTAAAAAGTCAAAGGCTTCTTGCACTGGATGAGCTGGTTTCTGCCTCATTGCCGTTGAACTCGCATTCACATAAAGTAGCCTTTTTGATAAGTTTGGGTGAGTAAGGGCCAAACTCATGCGATATAGTACTTTCAGTGCCCTGTAGTTGGCAATATCACTTTTATCGCTTTAGTAGCAGGAATAAAGTGCTGCAGAAAAGCTAGGTGCCATGCAAAATGTAATGTGTATCTGCAACACTCATTACAAATGTAGTGGAGTAAAGAGTAAAAGTTGCTAATATCTTTAGTAAACAGAGTATCCAAAAAGATACTCAAGTACAGTAAGTAATTACATTTACTCAAATACTTTACACCTCTGAGTTTAGAAAACGCATTTTACTTTGACTGCCTTTATTTTGCTGTCAAAATTGGGCTGTTGACTTTGGATAATTCAATATGTTTAAGGCAAGCAAAAAAAAATAATAATAATAATAAAGAATGAATGAATTCTAGAGAATTTAGGCACATCCCAAATCGCGTACTTATGCACTATTCTGTGACAATATATAATATAAATAGTGCGATTCACACTACTTCCAAAAAAAAAGTGCACTTTAAATACCCAGATGATGCACTTAAATAACGGAAAAAAATAAGTGTGGAAAGTTGGACACTTCATTTTTTTTTTGTATTGCAAAATATGCATATACAAATATTTTAGTTTTTTATAAAAATAACAATAGTGCAAACGCACATTTAGGAAATCTAGAACATTTCCAGCAAAAGTACATATTACATAAGCACAATCAATTTTGCATAATTATTGAATAGTGAAGTGACATGTGGCCAAGTATGGTGATCCATACTCAGAACTTGTGCTCTGCATTTAACCATCCAAGTGCACACACACACACACAGTAGTGAACACACACCCGGAGCAGCGGGCAGCCATATTGCTGCAGTGCCCAGGGAGCAGTTGGGGGTTCAGTTGTTGCTCAAGGGTCTCACCTCAGTCATGGTATTGAGGGTCAAAGAGAGCGCTGGTTATTCACTCCCCCCATCTACAATCCCTGCTGGACCTGAGACTCGAACCCACAACCTTCGGGTTACTAGTCCCACTCTCTAACCATTAGGCCATGACTGCCCAATGTGTCAACTGTAATGTATCATTCCCACATAAACGAAAAAGGAAGGAACATATAGGGGTAGAATTATTGCATTATTCCAAATAAATAGAATATGATCCACAAATAAATGTAAAGTGATTAACAAAAACCAAACATATTCACAAAATAAATAGAATGAGATCCACAAATAAATCTTTTTCGAGTTTCACAAACAGGAATTAAATTCACAAATAAATAAAATGAGATTTGTAAATTAAAAACATATTCACAAATATCTTTTTATTCTACAAACAACTTTGCCTGGCATTTTTTTGTGAATCGCCTCCTGTGCATTTGTGGATCGCTCGCTGTGCATTTGTGGATTTTGAAACATTTCTAGCCTCAAGACGTTGACAATCCACAAATGTGTGACTCCACCCACAGTCTACTCGAGCCAATCAGATAACAGCCACACTTCGCTGACCAATCATAGCATGTTCTCGCTATAACCAATCACGTTTTGCTTTACAATCAGGGCGGTCTCTTCCTGAAATAACTTCATTCATAATATGCATTGGCTCAAATAGGAAATACAAGGGCCATAAAAACGTTCTCGCTATAACCAATCACGTTATGCTTTACAATCAGGGCGGGAGCAGATTTATTTTATTGCACCCCTGTAAGGAACTGCATTCTATGCACACTTCGTTCAAATTGAGCTGAAGTGCTGTTTGTGTGGCTAAAAAAAACCTGTTTCCAAAAGACTGTAGGAGTGTAAGGCTTCTTTATATTTCCATCAGGTTCAGTGAATGAGGATAAACTCAGGATTATACACAATTTATGATTATTCATTCACAGATACCGAACATCATCAGTAATACCCTCGCGACGCGTCCAAAGCAAATAGACATCTACTGCGATGCTGTCTGCTCTGGACGAGGCGCGACACGATGAAGGACAAATGATTTGCACGTTTGCTTCGATGCGTCAGTTGCAGTTACAGAGACACGGCGTAAGACATGGCGTGGCTTATTTAGCCTTTTAAAGCACAATCGCGGTAACAATATATAGAGCATAATAACACGTATAATATCAATTATGGGCCAAAATGACCATCTGGGTACCTGTCTCAGCATCACTGCAGCGCGTAGTACTGGAGTTTTGCAAGTGGACAATGTACTTTGGATGCTGTTAAGTAACTTTTATAAACAAAACTAGTAAGTCTGATTCATATGAAATATTTTTTTGCGTGATCAAGTGTTTTAACCAATAAATATCTCGTCTTACATTTATATCCATTTATTTTCAACACACCTGCACCACATTAAAAAAAAGAACCCACCTATATTTTTCCTCCCCAAACAATGGCAATAACTTTGTAATACTTTTAATTAATGTTTGAAAATATTATTTATAATTCTATGTACATCGTTAGATCCACATAGCTGCTCATATCCATATCCATCTCATCCCAACTGCTTCACTGAAAACGTCTCAGGTTACTTATGTAACCATGGTTCCCTGAGTAGGGAACGAGACACTGCGTCCTCTAGGTTTCCCCATAGCGACCCCTAGAGGACGCAGTTTGAAGTTCCCATGAAAGGGAACGTCTCAGGTTACTTATGTAACCATGGTTCCCTGAGTAGGGAACGAGACACTGCGTCCTCTAGGTTTCCCCATAGCGACCCCTAGAGGACGCAGTTTGAAGTTCCCATGAAAGGGAACGTCTCAGGTTACTTATGTAACCATGGTTCCCTGAGTAGGGAACGAGACACTGCGTCCTCTAGGTTTCCCCATAGTGACCCCTAGTGGACGCAGTTCGAAGTTCCCATGAAAGGGAACGTCTCAGGTTACTTATGTAACCATGGTTCCCTGAGTAGGGAACGAGACACTGCGTCCTCTAGGGTTCCCCATAGCGACCCCTAGAGGACGCAGTTCGAAGTTCCCATGAAAGGGAACGTCTCAGGTTACTTATGTAACCATGGTTCCCTGAGTAGGGAACGAGACACTGCGTCCTCTAGGGATCGCTATGGGGAAACCTAGAGGACGCAGTTTGAAGTTCCCATGAAAGAGAACTGGAAAACGCTGTTATGCTAGCTGTTGTGTGACGGCAATTTAACCTGTTACACAAACTCGCATGTTTATCATGAGGTTGAATGCAGTTATTTACTTATTGACGCTTTTCTTTCCATCTTGAATGACGCTTCCATAACGCGTCTGTATCCAGTACAGCATTGTTCCCACAGCCGTGATTTAAAGCGCTGTTTCTCTGGGATTTTCAAAGGCATGTAAAATATACTGTGGCTTGGCTTGATACACAGTCTAATGCTCTAACGAAATCCAATTTTAAACATCTTTTACTGTATAAATTTTTATGGCCCTTATATTTCCTATTTGAGCCAATGCTTATTATGAATGAAGTTATTTCAGGAAGAGACCGCCCTGATTGTAAAGCATAACGTGATTGGTTATAGCGAGAACGTGCCATGATTGGTCAGTGAAGGGTTATCTGATTGGCTCGAGTAGACGGTGGGTGGAGTCACGCATTTGTGGATTGTCAGCTTCTTGACGCTAGAAATGTCTCAAAATCCACAAATGCACAGCGAGCGATCCACAAATGAATGGCAGGCAAAGTCGTGTTTGTGACATAAAAATGTATTTGTGAATATGTTTTTTATTTGCAAATCTCATTTTATTTATTTGTGAATTTAATTAATGTTTGTGAAACTGAGATTTGTTTGTGGATCTCATTCTATTTATTTGTCAATATGTTTAATTTTTTGTAAATCTCTTTACATTTATTTGTGGATCATAATCTATTTATTTGCACTTCTACCCCCATAGGTAGTGCGTCATTTGGGACGCAGATTTTGTCATTCTGCTTTCTAAATACTGACCAGAAACCTAAAGACTATTATTATTAACAAGTATTATTAAATCACCACTATTTGATTGCTTGACATCCCTAGTTTTGGTTTAAAAGTATATTTACAGTGAATTGCACTATACACATTTGAACTGAATTAATGGTGTTTCTCCTTTTGTTTATGCAACATTTAGAAAAAATTATGTCAGAAAAATAGATAGAAAAATTATGTTAATATAATACAAACTAATTTTTAAATGTTTTTTTTATATATATAAAATCGTCTGCTAGATGAATATTTTCACATATTTAAATAACTTGCTTTATTACAGTGAAAATATAAAAGCCAGTATAGACGACAAAGCTGTCTCTACAGTAGCACGCATGCTATTGTTCATGCACAGTATAAAGGGTCTTTACACATGACAATTTATTATTATGCAATATATAGCCTCTTTATATTTAAGAGGGTGCACTCACTAGGGATTCTTGGCATCAATCATTTTCAAAAGCCTCTTATTACAGCTCTTATTTCTCCAGCATGCATGCGTACTACCTCTTGACCTGGTAGCAAAGCTTTAACCACAGTAACATTGTGGTTACACAAATTACACTGGCTTAATTGCTCTGGTACATCACTGTAATTTAACTTCACTGAAACTTTTCTCCCTCGTGTTTTCGTTTGCTTTGAGCAGAAATAACTTTACATTCATGGCCACAGTCGCTGCAGTGTGAGTGTTTGACTATGACTTATATTCATGAGCCGATCATCATCATCTTTTTATTATTATTAATGAACATACATAAAGATAAATACACATAATTACAACTCAAATCAGATTATAACAACAATAATAGATATATATACAATAACTAAAGGTGTCTTTTTTATTATGCTTATAAACAGAACAGAGACGACATTAATGGCTTAAAACTTCGTATACAATATACAAAATGTATCAACATGTATCAATGTCATTAGAATATTAAGAAAGAAAAAAACAATAACGATGACTGGTATGAAAATGGAGAAATAAGAAAAACTAAAGAGAAAAAAATAATAATAATAATAATAAACCACAAGGGTAAGATGTTCATTTATACATTAATTAGACATTACAAATTAAAGTCGTTCTCCTTGCTCTCTTATTTATTGAGGATGAAACAGTATTAAGATACATTTTAAACTCTTTCAAAAAAAAAAGAAAAAAAGAAAAATTGGTTTGTTGTTAGTGAACTTACATTTATGGATATAAAATTTGCCAAGAAAATAAATTACATTTATAAGAGCCGATCATCATCAGGGCTTAAGCTCTTAAACACACAGAAATAGATATTCAAGTGACTCTTAGCAAAAATGAGGTTAAAGAGAAAATTAAAGAATCCATAAACAACAAATGGCAAGAAGTATGGGACTGTGATAGCAAGGGCAGACATATGAGTAATATTCAGCAGCAAGTAGGACACGGAAGAAGTGTTTGAGGAATAGGAAAGAAGATAGAGTTATTTCTCGCATCCGAATAGGGCAGACTAGATTAAACCACTCTCTGTTTAATATAGGAAAACATGAAACTGCTCAATGTATTTATCATAATCAGGCAGAAACAATAGAGCATGTTTTAATCAAATGTACAAATATGAAAAAGGTTCAAACTTATTAAGGAAGTAAGAAACATGGGTGTTGAATCATTTAAGTTGACAAGCCTTTTGAAAGAGCATGCAGAACAAGGTAAAATATATGGTGCTATTATAAAATACATTACAGAAATAGGATTTATCAGGTTAAAAATCTAAATTTATATATATATATATATATTGCTTAATACACACTCCAGCCCAGTTGGTGGCGGTAAATGCACCAGAAGTTGGTCTGCCATCCGTTATATAAAACGTTATTAGAAGAAGAAGAAGAAGAAGAAGAAGAAGAAGAAGAAGATCTTCAGGGCTTCGGATCATAGACATATAAATACCTAGACTCCTCATTGGCCGCTTTGAGCCGTTGCTGCGATACGTCAACGCGTCCGCCATGTTCGTGAAGGCAAGACTGCCTTAAAAATAAATGGAGGTAAACGGAGGAGCTGCGTTTTTTTCTGGATAAAAACACGATA